ATGAAAAATTATCCTTTGAGTCAAATTTAATCTACAATACAGCAATAGATATGATAGATGGCAGTGTCAATGTGATGCGAGGATCTGACGACAACGGGAGTGGGAGGGGGCACATACGTCACGCTCCGACATCGACGCGTACGCGTGCCCAGTCATGACTCATCTTTTGCCGGCTACACCACGCACGCTACCGTACCAGTATTATTTAATTGGCCAATTTTGTTAAATGTTTGTGTTTTCGTGTTCGTGTTCGTGTCTTCAACGACTCTTCACAGTTATGAAGAGGATTTATGTGTTTAGAAGGAGTTTAACCATGGTATCAGCTTGAAAATGAACCTTTAGGTTCGAAACCTGGGTCGCTGACCTAAAACAGGATCACGGACAAGTACTACAGGTATTTAACTTTTTAATATGACATTTAATGATACAACATTACAACAGCTTACCAGCTGATTTACAGCCAGTGCTGCCAACGTATTTCGCGCGCATACGACCTTGTCTGCATGTTACGCGCTCACTATTTCGTGACTTCACGTTGCAAATCTGGAGTGAGACAAAGTAATTAGAGTGAGACAATGTTAACATTGTCTCACTGGTGAGCGAATTGGCCACTTTGCTTTCTCAAATCAGTGAGAGAACATGTACATTGTTAGGTAACTGTAGGAAAAGAAATATTCACCATTTCTTAATTATAGTTCACGTTAGTTTATGACAATATCAATATTTTTATTGTAGGGGGAAGAATATTATCGCACGGATTAACAGCTCCGCGTTAAACTGTAGTTGTGGTATCAGGGTAGTGCTTGGCAAAGCTTTAAGCGTTTGCTTTGATATCGTACTAGGTTGCAACATAACCTTAGGAAGCTTTACATTTTGAACAGAGAGGATTATCGTAAAATACAATCATTTAAAAGCTCACATGAAATTAAATAAAACAATTTATTCGTTTTAAGAGGATTATTTACTGCAAACAAGATATGTATTTAATAATGATTGCAAAATTGCTACTATGAAAAGAGTTTTGTGCCTGGGAAGAAAAAGATTCTTTGGATATTACGGGCCAGATGCAACAGTTTTACTAATTCCACGAATTGACAGTTTGATTCTAAATGACCGATGAAAACTAAACCCTTACATAGAAGCAAATTAGTAATAAATGAACGTGTTTGCCATTAAATATCACGTTAAGTTTGCTATAGTTAATTTAGAAAGGACATTTTGTTGTATGAAATATAATTATTTGTTAAAAAAATATAAAACAAATTGTGTTATTAGTTTTTATTAAGTGCACTAAAAATTAAAACATATCATTGATCATAATAGTGTAAATACATGATATAAATAGGCATATATTTCTCATCCAGTATCACCGTTATGTTTGTATAATGGTACTTAAATCACGTTATATAAACAATTTACACACTTTTACTGGTCGTTTTCCTTTTCTCATTATCAGGTTAACAATTGTCTTATATCGTTTATGGTTGTACAATCTTTCCTTGCTGTGCATAAAAAGAATACATTTCTGATTACTCTAATCTCTTTTTTAGATTTAAATTGTCTTTGCACACATTGTGAGGCTGTCATTATTCCCATAAAATTCTTGAAAGGGCTAAGACCACTTTCTTCTCCGATTGAATTAAAAAAGCCAGTTTTGTTGCTCTAAATACAACATGAGCAAAGTAACAAGGAAGATTGCACGTTCATAACATTCTACGACTCTGAACGTTTCCTATATTAACAAGTAAGCCTGGAGATAGTCAAGCATAGACAAAAATCAAACTTAGAGTGAAAGTCAAACATCAAATTTTAGGTTATGTTTTGTCCACGTAGATCTGTTTCAGAGTGATTAGTTGATTCATTTGTAAATCCTTAATTAGGAATGATAAATAACTTGTGTAGATTTTTTTTAATATTCAGAGAATACATATTTCATTTAGGTTATTAAAAAATAAGAGTTTTAGAGGTAATACCGATACACAAAACCTATCCTATCTGTTATTTTAATCTGCTTATTAGCAAGTACTTCGGTCAGTTAGCCTGCTCCAAATACCACAAAAAAAGGTATAAAATATATTTCATGTGACTGACGGAAAAAATATTTTTGAATTTCTTGTAAACACTAACAAACAACATAATTGAACAGAAGAGCTACATTGCTTGCACTTTCAAAATTCAAACTCGCAGTCTCGCAGACGAATCATTCAGAATCATCCACACAGGACAGGATCAAGGTAGCCCACATACGTCCAATAAGGAACAAAATTTCTCGTAAACGAAATTCCAACAAGCTATACCGCTAATTGATTATTGATTTCTTAAAATAAGGCGTGTTTAGCCATTGTTTAGCCTTGTTTAATCAAAGTTAAATGAAATCAAAGAAGCTTCAAGTTTATTTGTCCAAGTCAAAGCAATTTTTATCTTTGATGGATTTTCGGAAATATTTAAATTTTGTTTAGTTTAAAAATATATTTTTCTTGTATCTGACTTCCCAACTGTCCCAACTCGTGGCAAGGAAATTCCCAACTTTTCTCTTTCCCAGATTCTAGGGGGGGGAGGCTACCCCCCCTACCCCCCCCAAGGCGACGCCCCTGAATCACGGAAGTGTTTAAACAACAAAAGATCCACCGATAGGATTTTAATACTATTTAAAGGTTCTTCCAAAGGAAGAGATACCATATAACAACAGTATGTAGTATGTAGTGACGTACAGTATAGGAAATATTTTGATCATTGAATGATCAACCAAATTTGGCAACTAACGCAATTAATATCATTATTTTTTTACACTTATTCCTATTTAAACAATGCTAAATGCTCAAAATGTATATTTCACCCAATTTATCGCAGTTAGATGAATTAACTTAAGCCTTGAAAGTAACCGTCGATTTCGACGGGTTTCACCTAGTTATTTCTATTTCTTCTACTGTACTTGGTTGTGTTCTATGACTTTCCTGTTTCCATTGTTTGCAAATCGGCTCTTTCAATTATTGCTCAAGAAATGTAGCACAGTGTTAATTCAGTTTTATTTTTAGTATATCAAATTGTCCAGTATTTCTCACTTTTTTCCATTGTAATTTTAACAACTACACCAACCAAGTATCGTCTACTACAGATGCAATATGCCAAAGAATATCGTCTACGTGCAATCTCCAAGAAGTGGTAAAAAAGGCAGAAACCAACCCATACAATAGATATAAGTTAACTCCATAAGAAATAATTTTAAGAGTTACTGTGATATTAGGATTTTCCACTGATTTGTTAATAGATTATTATATTGCAAAACATGGCACGATTCAGAAGAAAATTGATTTTAAAATCAGAAAAAAAACTATTGCAAATACTTCATTTTGACACAAATTTAGTAAATCACAATTTAAATATTAACAGCTGTTTCATTCAAAAGTAGTGTAAATGTATGCATATGGTCGTAATGTAAGCAAATCTGAAGAGGGAACTTTAAAGGCCTCTGGGGCAGATCCCCAAGGGAATTTACCTTGTTTCTCTTTTGATGGCTCATCTACAGACTAAGACCTTTCTTTAGAGACCCCTACCGAGTTTCTACGCCCAGCCGTTCTCTGTAATTAGCTGTGACAAAACCCCGTATTTCCTCCATAAGAATAACATTGGATGGGAATTTAAAGGCCACTGGGGCAGAGCCCCAAGGGAATTTACCACGTTTCTCTTTTGATGGCTCATCTACAGACCAAGACCTTTCTTTAGAGACCCCTACCAAGTTTCTACACCCAGCCGTTCTCTCAAAATAGCTGTGACAAAGAAAAACAGTTTCCAATTAGTATATAGATTGCTGATGCCATTTATTTTGGCTATCATTTGTATTTTGATTATTAGAATGAATAATTTATTGCAGGTGAAAAAAATAAAATTGCCCATATATAGTTCGGCCACTTAGAAAGCGACCTGCGCGCTATGCTAACCAATGCTAGAGGAGGCCGAATTATAGTACATGTAACTGATTTGTTATTTCACTAAGGATGGCCTTAGTTATTATACTTAGGCTGTCCTGTTGTATTGATGTACTTAATTTTTATTTTGATCAAACTTTGCAAATTTTTTAAATTTTATACTAAGCTATTAATATTTTACTAAAAACACCCTTTATTAGCCTCCCTGAAGCAGCAAACCTAGGTACTCGTTAAACAATTTTTTTAAATGGATTTAACTGAAAATAAAATCAGGCGAAAGGAAATTCACTTAGTCTGCAGATTTGCTGCGGCAAAGGTATCCATATATAAAATAAATCCTAAAGTACCCATGGACTTTTGAGAAAACTACAAGTCACACCCCCATAAACCATATACTTAAAATGTTTGTCATGACGAGAAACCTTGCACAAAACTATATACTATTTCATAAATTGCCCTTCAGGTCGCAATTCCTTTCTAGAGGGAACTTTCCATATACCTAATGTTAAAAATACCTCAGCTGTACTTATTAGTTTGTTATTCTTTCAATTTATTACCTTATTAAAATCAGGTGTGATTATTTGTTTGTATTACCATAGATAAAACATACTCCCGTAAGTAGATTTCTCATCCTAATGGAACAGATGAAGACAATTTTATTGTTAGTTCTGTACGGTTTATGTAGAGGTCGTGTTTTGTTTACAATTTGTTTCCCGTTAATACAGTCATTTAAAACCTCGTTTAACCAAATAATACAACCTAATCATAAACAATATATTGTCCCCTAGTTATTTAACCAAACAGTAAAGCACAAATCAAGAAATTAACCCTAAAATAATAGAAACAAAATTTTGTCGACACTAGCGCCCAGTGTGGTGTACATGAACTAGACATGAAAAACGAGCTTCGAAATTTACAATGGGATGAGAAGTCTACTTGTGTGTTGTTTAGTTTATGGTATTACTGTATTCTGTTTTGTTTATTTTAGCTTAACTTAACCAATCAATAGTTTTATTAATATTTATGAAGTCAAATGGGGTGAAGATTGTGGGTAACAGCTAGATTGATAAATACCTTTTCTTAGGAGTTTCAGATGTCTTCTTTTCAAAATGTAGACCTTGCTCACTGAATATCTCTCTGTAACATTCAAAAAAATATACCGTATGATACTTGTTGCCATACTTACAGTGCTTAAATAAACAAAGAAATGGTTTGACTATGTAATTATTTTGTCATGTCATCATAATGTTTTCTTTATCCCTTACCTGTAAAGTTTTTTCAAACTTGAAATCTAGAGACCCATTTTGCAGTATTGATTTGATGTTGCTGGGATTTCATAAAAAGGCGATGTCTTGTTTTATACTTGTTTGTGTCTGTGGCTGTTTACATAACCAGGGATGTTTCGATTTAGTGATTTTTTGGTTTAGTGAGAATCCAATTTACGGTATCTGTATCATTGTGGTATACTTTGAAATATTTAATGCCAAGGAATGTTTACACTGGAATACATGTATGAGAAAATTTGTGAGATACTTTTTTAAATTAACAAACCCAGAAACATTTGCTCACTCAAAGCTCACAAGATTTGGTTGGGCTTCAACATTTCCTCATTTTTCATTTTATTTCATAATAAAGTTTTAGGAAATCAGGTTTAAGGAATAGGGGCTGGGCTTGGTTACTAAAATAATTGTTCAACTATTCAAAAAACCTATCAAATATCCGTACACAACATTTAATAATAAGTAAATATAGTCTCCAGTTTTGCTTCAACTATGGTGTTTTTAGTTGCTCCCAACCTCTGGTACCACTAAGCTCTTGAATCTGCTGTGGAGGCCTTACTTTAAACCTCTCCTAGGAGCTTACCTCAACTTCCTGAGGTTCTCTTCAATGTTCTTCTGCCGTAACATCTCGTACGCAGACATCTCTTGGTCATGTTCTTCCTCCTCTTGTTCCCACTCATTCCTATAGCCTCTGCCTCGTTGGCTAGACTTGGACCTCTGGTTCACCTGGCTGTGTTCTGTGCCAACACCCATTACTGGTGCTGAAAGACGGGGGCGTCCTCGACCCTGTCACATCATAATGGGTTATTACCTGGCTCAAGTTGCCAAACAGTTGAACTATTTGGATTTTAAATATCTGCATTGTAGCAACTTTTTACAAAGTACATTCTTTGTTTTGGAGTTATGTTCACTTTTATTATTTTATTCAATGCACAGCATTTTTTATCTTAAGGTCTCCTACAAAATCTGTGTACTGTGTGTTAGTATTGATAATCCATGCAGTAAATCAGAAAAATACAGTGTTGATATATTTTTACTAGGGGTCTGCGGTTCAGAAAATTTTAGGTCGGTACGGTACAATATTTTGTACCTCGGTTCTCGGTACAAAATCGGTACGGTACGCGGCTACCCGTATTTTTGCGGTTTTCTTCTCAGAACTGTATTCAAACCATTATTTTTAATTTTAATACATTGACATTACTATGATAATGGATAGTATCCTACATTCATGGTTTAACTAACAACAATTACTGTAGCACACATTATTAAAACCTTTTACTCATGTCATGAAAAATCACAGCTAAGATAGTTAGATAGGCTTTACCTATTTCCTATTTTACTTTGAGATACTTTGAATAGAAATGATAAAGTGGTTTTAAAATCAGGATAAGAATGTTTAGGAATAAACATGTTTGAAGCATTAATTGACAAGATAATTTCGCACAACTGGTAAATTATTTCGAACTAACACAATGTCTAGTTTAATTGTTTTTTAAACTTTTAAAAACATATAAAAGCATTCAATACGAAAACGGTGTAGTTGCCAGCTGTTCACATTCAACAGATGACAATGAAAAACAGGATGCTATGATGAAGTAAAATGGCAAAGAGCATCTTTTTTATCAGCTTGAAAACTAATTATAAGATGGATACATCTCTTGCAAAGTTTTTTTTCTGAAACTAAAATTTTGATTACCACAGAGTCTTTTCATTGTCTTTTCATTTACAAAGTTAACATCCACACATATCAATCATAAGTTTATCTCACACTCAATCCAATTTTCTTAGTATATTTTAAAGCTCTTCCAAAGAGTCAAAAGACCCAGGCCTAGACCTAATTATTTAGGATGGCCTATATAAATTTAGTAGGTTACAATGAGGGTAGCAAAATCACTATCACAATTCTAGTTCATAAGATTTAGATTGCATAAAGTAACTTCAACACAATAAAAAAAATATAGGAAACGAAAAACATTCAAATCTTAACAGCCACATCCAACAATATAAGACAAGATACAGAACATGCAATGGCATAATTTAAGACCGAGTAGAATAAGAATAAGAAAGTTTATTGCCATTGACCAAATTGTACACGGGAATAGGCATTGTCAAAATACATTAAACAAAATCAACAAGTACCTATGTTATATCTATAGGTAACAAAGATTGAGAATTCCTAATCTACAGTATGAATGATTCCATTGTAATTTTATGTTTAAAAAGTCCTTAACTCAGTAGAACGGATTTGCTACTAGCCAGTTATGCATTTTGGATTTGAAAAGAGGAAGAGAGAGGCGTAGGCTTGCATAAGGAAAAAAAAATGCAAACAACATCTACTACTGGTTTCATCAATAGAAAGATAAAATATCCATAACAAATATCTTAACTTATAAAATAAGATTGTAGATTAGTTACAAGTTTAATATGAAGCCATAAACAGTTTTATGGTACTAGGCAATGGCCAGCGGCAAATTGAATATTCACGAAAATACTGACTGAATTAGAGATAAAATTTACAGTCATCATAAAACTATTATGTTTATGATAAAATAGAATTGGGGAAAGTCGTAAAGGAATAAAAGTGATAAAACTCAACAGTTCTTGGAAGTACTTGAATACAACAATTACTGTCGTGATAAAATGTTAATGGATTTGGGACTGCTAATGGGTTTTTATTGCATCATAACCCTCGTAATAAATTATGAAGATCGTAAACAAACATCTGATAAGACTTTTATGTGCTCAGAACCAACTACCGTTGACTAGGATAGTAAATTATAAGTATTTTATTATTATAATAGGCTGTACCGAACCGATGACGGTAATTAAGCTTGTACCGTACCGTACCGACTTTTTCGGTGCACCGCAGACCCCTAATTTTTACCATAGGCTACTGTAAAATATTTGTACACCATTTTTCTTGAAGGTGTTAAAGTGTCATTTCTGCTGTTAACACATAAGAAAATATGTATTACCCGTTTGCCGATGGTTATAACCTCACAGGTGTTGTAGGTAGGTCTATTAAATATGGAGGAGCGATTGGCAATACAGGTTTCACGAGCTTGAGTCATAATAGGTGTGTTGTGCGGCACTGCTGGGATTTTCAACTGCAAACAAAGAGTATATATATCAACATATCATCAGGAATGTCAGCTTCTCATCTCTATAGAAGTAAGTGTAACACTTGCATTTTATTTACAAAATTTATTGAACTAAGTCCAGTTAAATAAAGGTTATTACGCTTAGGTTGTGTTTACCAGTCTGCATGTTTTTTGGTGAGTGAACCAGGCCTGCAGTTTGCATGTCCACTCGAGATTATGGCCCTCGAGATATTTGCGCCCCTCTCTACATACCTTGTGGGGGAATTTTGTCTTCCTTGCACCCCCATCAAACCTAAAACCTCTTGCACCCTTGGGCCCTAGTCCCCAATTGCCCATTTACTAAAGTGGCCCCGGAGTAAACTGAAACCGGCTTGAATTGTCTTCAGGGCATACACACATGCATCTTGTAGCTACAAATACATTCATTACACACAGTGTAAGTTATGTTATAAGACTATATTATTACTCTTAACATTGTTCATTGTACCTCTTTCCTATAGAATGTCATTGGTTGTTGAGTCATGACAGGGACACCATAGCATGAGAACGCTGATGATGATGATGCTGGTCCTTCATCAGATATTGCTGTTATCTTGGCACAAGAAATGGCCTGAAATTGTAACATTAAGCATGAGATAATGCATGTAATACTATGAAAAATATCAGACATACCGTACTGACATACTCGTATGTGTGTCATTGAAGGGATATGATGTAAAGTGATTGGTTAAGAAAATGATGAGACCGTACCGTACCTGTTTATAGTAAGATCTTTTTCTGGGACCAGGCTCTGCTGTGCAAACTGGAGGATCAACATTTTTAAAAATGTCTGAGGAGAGTTCAGAAGCAGAGAGGTTTTGAAGTTTGCAATCTTGATTTTGCTTTTTTGGTGACTCAGCATTGTCCATCTTCTGTAAAAAATTTAAATCCTTTAGAAACCACAAAGATAGATTTTGCTAGAAAGAATGTTAATTAGAAACTTTGAGTAATGAATCAGAGGAATTATTTGTATTCTAAGTATTTTAACTATGCAGTAAAACATAGAATTAATTATTACTTTTTTTCCAGTAACTTTAATGTTAATGGAACACAAAAAATAAGGTTCAATATGAACAATGAATGATGAAAGTTATGGGAATACATATTTAAATTTAAAAATTGACTTTCAATTATTCGGTATTATCCTCCACTTAGGTGAGTCTTTGTTGGATTATGCAGTTCAACACCTACCTTTTCACAATAAGAACTTGTTTTAAAGATGTCTGCTTTAAAATCAAGAGAGTCATCTTTTTTGGCTATGCCTGATGTGGAGTTACAATAAGTTGTGGCTTTCTTTATTGGTGAATCAGCAATATACATCTTCTGCAAAGTAAGATATCGAATATTATTAGCGAATTTCCCATGTAGGGAATAAGCTATTACCGTAGTATTCATGGTAAGACCTGGACCCGGGACCGATTTAATTTTTCGTTTTGAGGTCCCAAGAGGACAAAAACACCATCCGTTCAAATTCATATATATACAGGGTGTTTCAGAATTAGTGTCGGATATTTTAGGGTATTATTCCTGGGTAAGAAACATATCCAAATATCATATTTAAACAGTCCGGAAGTCTTTATTTACTCAAACAGCCGCCATTTTGTTTTTTCCTTTAATATTTTTTTTAAAGAGAATGGTAAAACATACGGACTTGAAACTTTGCACAAACATTTCTGACTACTAGGCAAAGCTAAAAAAAATTATGAACATTTTCCAAAAACATAAAACAAAATGGCGGCCATTTAAAGTTTTGTTTCTTAAATAACTCGAAAACATTGATTTTATGGAAATTCTACAAGAATAAGTTTTTTTAGGTAATTTTATTACAAATTGATTGACACCTTAAGTTTTACAATTGAAAGTATATTAACTGAGATATGGCAGTTTTAGTGATACGTGACCACTGGAGGTTAGTTGTAGAGCATGCGGCGCCATGCGGCTAAAGTCTGCCACAACAATGCAGGGCCGGACTTAGGACTTCAGAGGCCCCGGGCGAATTTGCCGATGGGGCCCCCAGTATAATTATACGAGAACATATATGGTACACAATGTAACGCATTTACATGCACACTAATTTTAAATAGGTAATTTCAAGGTGAATTAATATGTAAACCTGTTAGAATGCTGTATTTTGCATAAACTAATTTTATGTAATATTTTAAGTCTGAAAATAGCTACAATGTACGGTGTTATGTTATGATTTGTTCTTGTTGTAATTGTATTTATAAAATTTTAATATACCTAGCAGGTACCTTACACATTTTTTGCAATACATTAAAATGTAATATCCTTTGCAACAAATAATGAAAACTAGCCTATAGATAAAATAAAAATAAAATAACACATACTTGTAAAAGGTTTATTTTAATTTTTTTACTGTAATACACATTCTATTTGGTGCTTGAATGAAAACTCAAATAAAAAATAACTAACATTAATTAATGGAATAAGTTATATTTAAACACGTGATGTAAGTCAGAGATAATGCATAAACTTTTAAAGCTTTAATATATTTTATAACCTACTATAAATTTTACTAACAAACCTTTTACTGTACTAAGTTTATAAGATACAAGTCAAAACAATTTTAAAGTTTACTTTTTATAGATTAATCATTATAAAGTTTAGAACATAGTTATCTTATTTTCCCTATAAATAAATGTCACTTCCTACTCTGATACGTTGGTCACGTTGACATGGCAATTAAAACCCCCTGCTTTTCCTACATTTCTTGGCTGCACTAAAACGATAAAACCATAAACTATGACTTATGTTTATTTTCATAGTGGTTTTGGCATGGAATTCTCGTTTGTATAATATGTTAAAAGTCCTAGCATGAAAAGTACCAGAACTTTAACGAGTTTGAGTTTTTTCTTGACGAGTAAAATGTTACAATACAAGTCTAATAACAAATCACAAGCTAACCATTTATATGAGTAACTGAAAGATGTTTAAATGTATTCAATATCGATTAATACAACACAAACATAACATTCAGGTACAACATTAATTTGTTCTTTGTAGTGTTTGCAGAATTAATAATAAAATACAACACAAAAGTACGACAATATCAACCAAAAACACACTGGGAGTAAAGTGATTTAAATTGTTTTGGATTGGCGATAAGGCATTGTATGTATGTGTATGCGCGTGCGTGAGACAGACAAGACTAGACAGGATCCCTTATCAGCTCATTATCATTTATTGTTGCAGCTGCTTGTTGAGCGCTTTCTTACGATTTCAGTCGACAACGCTCGCCCGCTCCTAAATAATGTAATTTTTGTTAACATCAGACGACCCTAGTTGTCATCAAATGTCTATATAGATTTTGTATCCTACTGGCGCTGTATGATTTTGACTCTATCGACTAAATTGAAGATCAGAATTTCGACGTATAACTTAATTACTATTTTATAAAACCTTTTAATTGAATGGTTAATATAATACTTCTGCCCCTTAAAATCGTGAATGGCATACTTAGAGGTAAAAGAATAACATCTAATAAAACATATTTTTCAAACAATGTTTTTATTTTTCAAAAGTATTAGATCTCAATTGAATCTCCATTTAACCCCAAGACAATTGTACAAGTTACGTTCTACGTTAGGACAAGAGTTTTCATATTATTTATTGTATTTTTTGCCCCAAGCGAAGGGGCCCCCTTCAACTCGATCACCGCGGCCGTAGGTTTGTGTGAACGGCTTCATTGAAACTCAAACTGGTCCGTCACAGCCTAGCAGCTATGCTCGTGTAAACTAGGTCTAAGCGCGGGGCCCAGTGTGCAACCCTGAGGAAAAGTCCCTTAGAGTCAAGAATTTTGGTCCTAGTAATACCTTAAAATTCATCTAACAATAACCTTAAGTATAGGATAACGACAATAAAGCTGTTAAAAAAGAAGATCATTCGGTAAGTGTCTGATTAATTTTCGAAGATATTAATAAAAACTACTGTGCAAGGGGCCCCTTCGGGGCCCCCCTACGCCCGGGGGCCCCGGGCGCTCGCCCCGTCCGCCCCTAGGTAAGTTCGGCCCTGCAACAATGCATGGCTCCGCATGCTCTACAACTCACCTCCAGTGGTCACGTATCACTAAAACTGCCATATCTCAGTTAATATACTTTCAATTGTAAAACTTAAGGTGTCAATCGATTTGTAATAAAATTACCTAAAAAAAGTTATTCTTGTAAAATTTTCGTAAAATCAACGGTTTTCGAGTTATTTAACACTTAAAGTGCCGTTGACATGTTTGAACATGAAAATTGCATTTATTTCAATGTTAAGCAATGGCGGGAATTCCCGTCATCAGCACCCAACGTGTTAAGAAACAAAACTTTAAATGGCCGTCATTTTGTTTTATGTTTTTGGAAAATGTTCATAATTTTTTTTTAGCTTTGCCTAGTAGTCAGAAATGTTTGTGCAAAGTTTCAAGTCCGTATGTTTTACCATTCTCTTTAAAAAAATATTAAAGGAAAAAAACAAAATGGCGGCTGTTTGAGTAAATAAAGACTTCCTGACTGTTTAAATATGATATTTGGATATGTTTCTTACCCAGGAATAATACCCTAAAATATCCGACACTAATTCTGAAACACCCTGTATATATAAATATATATATATATATATATATATATATATATATATATATATATATATGTGTCCGTTAGCACGATAACTCGAGCAAAAATGATCCGATTTTGATGAAATTTTGTACAAAACGTGTAAACCTACATTTATTCGAACGAGTTTGCGAACCAGCATGATCGGACTATGGGAACGGGGATTTAATGGGGTAAAAATAGGGTTTTTCCAATTTTGACCCTAAAAACACAAAATTTCTTTCCAAACCATTTTGTAGAGCTTAAAAAAACTAATAATTTAATATATTGAAGCGTTATTGTGCGCATAATGGTTACGGAGAAAATTTCAAAAAATTGTAAATTTTAAATTCCCTTGTTATTCTTATGGAGAATAAGTCAACTTGTTGTAGTTTGCTTGTTTATGAACATATTTTGATCGAACTTGGAAAATTTTTTTTTTTTGCTTAACTATTAACATTAAAAAAAATATTTACCCTCCCTGTTGCAGCATACCTAAGTACTCGTTAAACTAATTCTATTCAAATAGGGAATGAATGTGATATTTTAAAAGAGGCATTTTAATGTAAATCCAATCCTAATGGAAATTCCAAGCTAATGGAAATTCGCTTAGTCTGCAGGTTTGCTGCGGCGGGGTATTTTAATTGTTTTATGAGTTAGAACGTCAAGGCTCCAAGGACTCTTAATGTCTCCTCTAATGCAAAATATGTTGACATTTTATTTCTGTGATCGTAGGAAACATATTTGATTCCTTTGCGATATCTCTTTACGATGTCTTCCCAAACTCAATAAAGATAATGTCCCTGGGGATGCAAAAGATTATCACGATTTCGTAGCGATCGCAGCAGGGGCTCACGGTGACTGAGGACGATTTTGTTTATTTTCACTACCGTGTAAAAATATACTTACTCTGTATATTTTTGCTAGTATACTAATGGAGAAATTATGATATGCTGATTTAACAACTACTCACATGGAACTCCCTACCATCATGCTCGAAACATACCTGTTAATCATTTCTACAATCTTGTTAATTGTTTTACTGTATGTGTTTTTATGTCTTATTGTAATTTGTTAACCTGTAGTGTGTGTGGTAATTTGTTTTATATTTATAACATACCATACCATTAGGCCTACCATAACCAGTAGGCGATCATTACCCAGTTATCTAGACGGCTCTTGTCGTATTTAAAACACACTCAAATTATAAACTAATATTTACATTACTAACTACGATGGCGGCTAGTATCACACCCTAAAGTTCATACTGTCCTCAAGATACATCTCTATGAAGTAATAACATTTGCTCAGTAACCAGTTCTTCATCACTTTTGTAAAAGTTTTTAAGTTCAGCTCCCGTATATTGACTGGCAGCTTGTTGAAAAGTTTGTAGGCTATGAACTCTGAAGTTAGGCTATGAAGTTTGTAGGGTAGAAGCTCTTAGATTTACCTAGCCTACACAAAACCAACTTTCTGATCCAACTCAAACTTAACTTTTTATAATTAAGACGACGAACAACTTATATCTTTTATTTTCTGCCAACTGATGATGTAGGTTCATGTAAAATGTCCATGAAAAATGATTTGGTTTGACATAAACACCTGTACTTCCTGACCTTGTCTATGTATTATTTATAGAATACATGTTATCTTAGAAAAATAAAATAATTACCTAAGATTTTAAAAGAACTTACTTTTTCCTCAATCACTCTCTTTTTCATAACTTTAGAAGTGACCTGGCTCTTTGTATCCAATTGTGACAGTGGTTTTGAATTTTTTGTCAGTGTTGTGGGGATTCGATTCAACTTCTGTAACATTACAAGTTTGAATACTGACAACTATCTCTCTATAAAACATTATAATACTGTAGTAAACAAAAAATGTTGTACAATTAGCATAGAGTATCTGGCTAATTCAACAAAAAAATTAATCCAATAGAAGAGTGTGAAATTGAGTAGGCACACACTCAATTGTATGATGTCTCAAACAGTGGCGGCAATAAGAACTCACAGCCCCCCCCCCCCCAAGATTGTTCGTTGGGCAACCACTCTCTCCTAATAATCCATAGAGATCTTTTGTATAGAATTTCATATTTCGTCTTATTCTAGCGCCTTCACTCATGCCGCGAGGACAATTGATGCAACCCATGACTGTAGAAGATGTTTTTTATCTAGGTAGTAGGGAATTTCTATCAACCGTACAGTGCCAGTAAGCTGTTGTAAACTACTTGCCAGTCTCTTACTGGTTTTAACACATTTATGTTGTAAAAAAAAAAAAAAATCTTTTGGTAATAAGATTTGTATTCCTCTTAAATATAGCAGTAATATAGTAATAATGGGATTCGATTATTATTTTAACAAATACATTAGTATCATAGAAAAATCCAAGTGATAATGTTATTAACTCTTATCTTAAAGTTATTTAAGTTGTCCTAATCTGAGTGGTTTTTTTTTTTTTTTAACATGTTCAGTGCAGCAGGCATTCCAACAGGTGCTCGCCAATGGCGGCGAGGCCCGGGCGAAGCCCCAGCGCGGCACCGTAACAGCGAACACAATTGGCATTCAAATATTTCAATCTGACAAATAACAAAAGAGCAGCGGGGATTGTACTACGTTACCCCGAGGTTGGGCGTAGTTCCCTAAAACACCCAAAGGTAGCAGCACTGCCTGGATCAGTAGTCAGTGGCCTTGTAAGAGAGAAAAGCTCCAAAACCGGGACAAAAGCATTGCCAGACGGAGTTTTACGGGAAACTTTAGTACTGACCTACACCATAACAAAGCTCACATTGTAAGCTACAGGCTAGCAACGATTTTAACTTTCCCCGGCAATGGCTGAGCTCATACTGAACTAATGAAGTGGGGGTCGCACAACTACATCAATTGATGTAGGCTGATAGGAGCGCTCGTGGTGCGACTACATCTATTGATGTAGTCAGAAATGAATGTGTTAAACTTTTCCCAGTTTTATCTTCATTTATTTTTCGCCTTTCCTGTTGTTCAATACTGAGGATTGTCAAATAACTAAGTGAAGTTTGACTCATAGTAATTCTCAAATAATTCTTGATAAGAATAAGTTTTAATTTTGAAAAGCTTCTTTCTGCCGTTGCAGTTGTTACTGGTAGGGTGAGGTACAGTTGCACCGCTGTGGCAGGGTTTGGAAAGCTACTTAGGAGCAAATTATTGTCTTCTATTATCAGTTTTGCTATGTCTCTTAAGGGGGTTTTTTTTTTGCGGCAAATGCATCAGACAACAATGGTCTGAACGACAATATTTCTCCCGTTAGCTGTTCATTGATGTCATCAGGATACTTATTTATGAGAACATTTGCTTTTTTGTATATCGTTTACAGGAAGTTTTGCCAGGTTTTCCTACCTCGAAATAGAAAAGTTTTCCACTACAATTTCTAAACTTAAGAATCTATTTTTTATCTGAATTATAGCAATATCCATTAACGAGGCAACAGGGTTGTCAATTTTGTAATCAGATGCAAGTTCATCAAAAAACCTCTGCACAATTCTCTGTCGCTTTGTCTTCTTTTCAGTTGATATATTACAGATGCTTGATGGCAAATCTGTCCGTGCATACTTTCAGTTCGAGACCTCAATCATGAAAATCGGTCGGGTAGAAGAGCTAAACGAACTCGGCAAAGATAAACCAAATTTAACTTCCATAAGAAATACATGGGAAGCAAATTTCGTTTGCGTATACACCGAGTGGGATTATAGAAAAATATATGCCAATGATTGATGGCAAATCTGTACGTGCATACTTTCAATTTGAGACCTCAATCATGAAATTCGGTCCGGTAGAAGAGCCAAACGAACTCGAAAAAGAAAAACCAAATTCTTTAAATATATAAGATATGTTAAATCTATTTTATATAGCCTGTTAATACATATCCAAAATTCTATTATCTGTAATCAGATGTTTTATCTTTACTTTGAAATGCTTGTTTTATATTTTTATAATATCTCGGGAGCAGAACCTGTACCTCTTAACCTCTGCTCTTCGAACTGTAAAGTTTAAGTATTTTACAGCTTACTTAAATTAATATATATATTAACATTCTTTCAAAATGTAAACATGAAAAATTTGGAAGCCCATGGGGCATAGCCCAAGGAAATATGAAAATTAAATGATATAATATTGCATTGTCGTCCATTTGTGAGAGAGCTGTGTTTCAAGTTTCAAGTCTCTAGCTCATCGCGAACTTTGTTTAAAATTGATATAAAAATGTGTAAGAAAGCGAGCTAATAAAGACAAGCCTATGGGGTTTAGCCCGAGGGAAGTATGAAAATTAAATGATATAATATTGCATTGTCATCTATTTGTGAGCTATGTTTCAAGTTTCAAGTCTCTAGCTCATCGGGAAGTTAGTATAAAATGATTGCAAAATTTGTACAAAAAACGGTAATTTCACATCTGATCCTTCAGTTAAATTGTTAACCGCAGTTTAATTCCAAACAATAATAAACAACACAGTTTATGAAAATAAATTTTAATTAGATTACTATTATTGATAATTGTAACGTGATTAAAGTAACAAGTACCGTAAGTAAATCATCTTTATGGCATGGATTTACATTTGTTAATTAATTAACAAATTAAATCAATTTTAAACATACATCCATCCATCTAAATTACTGTACAACATAATGTTTGAAAGTTAAAAGGACATTTCATCATTAGTTTTGCCATGGAAACAAGTTTTGTACCCATTTAAAATGTTTGATTTTCAGATCCCTGTCATCTGTACTTCTAACAGCTGTCACACACGTACATGATAAATAATAAATTGTTTATCAATTTCCATTAACCAACCATATTGTAAGGATTTACAAAATAGTTCAGGGACACACAAAAAAATTTTGTTGTAACTATGTTAGTAGGCCTAGATAACAAAATATGTTAGGCCTTTATTTTTTTATGAAAATCAGAGCAAGCTATAGTTTGTTTGGTAAATTTTACTTGTCATTTTGAACTGAATTAAAAAATAATTAGCCTATTCATTTTATGAGGTAGGTAATTATATTATTTAAAAAATATAGTCAAACTTCTGGGAGACAGGGATGACTCATACGGCAGGTCAACAGTCCACAGGGGTGGATTTAAGGGGGGGGGCGGCCGGGCGCTCCAAGACACAGCCTTAAATCGGCTTCTGATGATCTGTGCTAATCCATTGTCTGTGTGAGTGGGGCCTGCATGTGTGTTAGTAGGGCTAACCCTCCGGGCAGCCGCATTTACTGGGCAAAAAGACTACATACGTAGTTCAGATTGACACTGTCAATGTAAGTCAATATAATATACTAACTACTAATATACTATAATACTATTATATACTATAAGTCTGCCCCTGAATCTAACAAAATATCTTATTATGTGGACTTATAGTTATTAAATGTACCGTAGGCTAAAGTAGGACTGTTATAAAACATACCTTTTTAAGACTTTTAAGTATCTTTGATCCATTTTTATCTTGACCATTGCAGGTTTTTGAGTTAGAAGAAATTTTACAGTTTTTCTTTGGTACAGCTTGCACTAAGCAAGCTATCTGCAAATTAAGAACATAAAAGATAAAATATGATGGTAACTAATCCTTATATATAATACGTGAAGGCAATTTCTACGAAACACTACTCCTCCGTTAATAGTGGACGGATTTTTACAAACGACGTGTCAAAATAAAGTATTTTTTGTCTAGACGCCCCCTTTAACCAATTCATGTAATAAAAATCCTCGGGCTTTGCCCCACAGGCCATCAAAGTTGGAAGTTCTCCCATAAGATTAACATGGGGGAATCTAAATATTTAATTGGAAACTTTGTCCCCACTAATTTGAGAGAACGGCTGGGCGTAGACACTTGGTAGAGGTATCCAAAGAAAGGTCTTGGTCTGTAGATGAGTTATCAAAAGAAAAACTTAGCTAAATCCCTTAGGACTCTGCCCCAGAAGCCTTTAAAGATCCCTCCACAGAGTTGTTTACATTTTGGCCATGAATAATACTTTTTAATGAAACTGCTGATCATTTTTAAATTGTATTTCAAACAACACACATTTATTGGGAGTTAGGTACTGAATTCTACCAAATAAGTATTTGCAATGTTATTTTCTGATTTTGAAATTGATTTTCTTCTGTATCATGTCATGTTTGCAATATAACGTTCCTTTACGAAATCAGTGGAAAATCCTTTTATCACAGCAATTCTTAAATTATTTCTTATTGAACTATCTTATATCTATTGCACGGGTTGGTGTCTACCTTTTTCACCACTTTTGCCTACATTTTATCATATTATTCTACACATCAAATAGCCTACTTATGTAGAAATATCTGCTCTTATCGTGCCTAATAAAATCCAATCAAAGAAACCTTGCCTAAAATGGTACCCATCTTGACAAATTATTTGCACCTGCCTATATTACGGACTTTGGCGCACTGGGTTGGTAACATTATTGAAAATAACACGACATTTTGGCTGTAAAATACGGTATAAAGAGAAAATACTATTTAATAAGCTCCTGTCATGACAGAAAGGTCATATTCCTTTTAAAGTAGATTACATAATCCTTTATAAGATACATTGATTAACAATATGTAAATGTCAATATATACATAACAGCCAATTTACAGCATTTTTGCTTTTTGGAAATGTCCCATTGCTATGTTATTTGCATTATTTGTTGCCAATGAAGCCTCAAGACCATATGAACTAGGAGGCCCCTAACAGTTCAAGAATAAAAGCCAACTTCACTTCAAGTATTCCACTACACCTAACATTCCGTAGAGAGATTATATTGACAACTTTATGTTATTGATAAGGCTGAGACAACTAACTGACATCCCCCATGTCAAAGAATTCCAGCTTTAACAGGAACCCCACAATCAATTTCTCAAAACGATGCTAGAGGGTTCATTCATTGGCACAGAAGTACGATATGAACTGACGCGACGTGACAAAGGAAAAATCAAACTTACACTGTAACGGATATACCTCCCTTTGAAGTTAGAATATGTCTTCCCAAAAATATTTTCTTTAAAAATAAAATCACATTACGCTGAAGAAATCACAGAAGTGTTTAACTACAAAAGATCCACCAATACGATTTCAATACTATTTAAAGGTTCTTCCAAAGGAAGAGATACCATATAACATACTAATAATAACTCCTTGTATTGTTAATGAATAATGCTCTAAATGATGCTAACTCTTGGTTTGAAACAAATGGGTTGCTTTTGAATGACTCTAAAACCCAGAATATTTTATTCACTCTTGGTAAACCTGATCTTGGGCTTTTAGATGTGGAAAAAAATGTCAAACTTTTGGGAATCTGGCTTGATTCTTCTCTCTCTTGGTCTTCCCATATTGAATCCCTGTGTGTTAGGCTCAACAGGGTAATTAATCTGTTAAGAAAACTTAGAAATCTTGTTCCTAAGCCATATCTGAAAATATCTTATTATGCTTTTTTTAATGGCATCTTGAGTTATGGTCTGTTATTGTGGGGAAATGGAGCAGATGTCAAAAAACTTCTTGTGCTACAGAAAAAGGCCGTTAGGATTGTAAGTGGTGCGCCCTTGGATGCACATTGCAGGCCTCTGTTTCAGTCTGAACAAATACTGACTATTGTAAATATGTATATATTTGTCTGCTTGGTACGAGTTAAAACAAAACTAGAGAGTTACACGTGTAGAAGCTCGGTGCACTTGCATGTGACCAGAAACAGTAATCTGCTAGATTTACCTTTTGTGAGACTATCCAAATCAAAAAAGTGGTTTAGTAATGTAGGAATATCAATGTTTAATAAACTTCCTAGCACAGCACGTGATGTTAGCATGAGTAGGTTTAAGCATGTTTTGCATGAGTGGCTTGCACAAAGGCCCTTTTATAGCCTAGAGAGTTATTTTCAGGAAGATTTTAGTAGCATGTTATTTTGACTTGCCAACAATTACTCAATGCCTGTAATTCTCTTATTTATTTGCATGTTGAGTATTGACCATATGACCATATGATCTGTATGAACAATTGTTGACCTTTTACTGTCTTGTTTCTGATAAGCTCGATGCTTGCATAGCTACATTTTTATTTTTTGATCCATTATGACTGCCCAGACAAATGTTTTGTCTATTTATGTTTTACCGGTATCTAGTTTTATTTTCTTGGTTGGACTTGAACCTAATTTGTTGTTGACTTTGTCATATGCATGTACCTTGCAAATTACGGCAATAAAAAGTTTCTGATTTCTGATTTCTGATTTCCGATGACGTATGGTATGGGGAATATTTTATTCATTGAATGATCAAACAAATTTGGCAACTAACGCAATTAATATCATTATTTTTGTACACTTATTATTCTTTAAACAAGATGCTAAATGCTCAAAATATGTATATTTCACCCAAATTTATCGCAGTTAGATGAATTAACGTAAGCCTTGAAAGTAACCGTCGATTTCGACGGGTTTCACCTAGTATAGCCTAATGCCTAAGTAAGTTAAGTTGTCTAAGTTATTTATTAATTTATCATGGTGTTGTATGCTTACCTTACACCTGTTTAAATAAACTCAGTTGAAGTAAGTCTTTTTAGTTGTATTTAAAACAACTTTAAATTATAACCAAGTCCACATGTTTGCCTGTGATGAGTGAACATATATAGCTTACAGATCTAAGTTATTTGGTAAAAAATAGAGATGTAATAGTTTGGTCATATTATTATTCACCAGTTGTGTACCAGTAGTGATTCATTTACATACTTCTTGAGTTTTGGCACAACAGTATCTTTAAGTTCTTTTTGAAAATTATGTTAATTTTATAAACAGACATAAGTTATATGGCAGAAAACTACACAAAATTTAGCTTTTGCCATTAAACTATAAAATGTATTTTATGCCAGTCCAGGAGATAGCACGAAGGAAGAAAGACCTCCTGCCATAACTCTGCTGCGAGTCTGTCGTCACGTTGTCTGATCTATTGATTGGTGTTGACCACAATTAAGTTACTTAGTGACTGTTTTCTTACGTGAATATAGGAGTATATATTTTGTAAATAACTAAGCTAGTAACTAAACTATAGACTAGCCTACACAGTGTTAGTAAGAAGATAACTTAACTTAAGAAGACCCCCTGAAGATGCCACACAAGCTGGTGTAATGCATCTAACTTAGTGTGATACTGATACATATATTTTATCTTAGGCTACCTAATCAAGAAAGCTACAGGCTACAACTAAGTTAATCCAACTTCACTTAACAAATCTTTATTCTGAAGATAAAAGCGCAAACAAAATTTGATAGTTTAACTTAACTTAGTAAAGTAGGCTACCTACTAAAATCTTCTCTAAGAGATAATATTTTAGTTTGTATAAGTTATAATTTTATTAATTTTATAAACAGACATTTTTTCTTATAGGCTACAAACTAAAACATTAGACCTATCTCTCAGAGAAGATTTAAGTAGTCTAGGCCTACTGAACCAATAGTGATTGTTATGTCAATAAGTAAGTCGTTGGAAACAGGATAAGTTCACAGGATTTTCCACAATTTTGTTCTTGAACGATAGTTAAGTGGCCTACTAATATACTACATTAGGCCTTAATAGCAAATAATAACCAAGTAACAGGCCTAACTTACTAGTCCAAAATGTGTCTTTATTAGGCCTTGGCCTTATTTATTTATTCTTTCAATGGTAACAGCATTTTTACATTCAAGTATAACTTACATTAAATAGGATTAAATCACTTTATGAACATAGCATAAATAAAATATGAGCAAAAAACAAGAATAAATTAGAAAGCATGCATGACATGCAAAAGACTTATTCTTGGTGGTAATCCCAAACTTCCACACTCAACCAGAAACACATATTTTCCAGACTAGGCCTAGTAGTCAACAGATAGGCTAACTTACTAATGTCAAACTACTTAGCCTAGAGGTAAGTTAACTTGAACTTAAGTTAAGAATATACCTAGGCTACATAAATAAGTTAACTCAGGTCTATCTATTTTTTTCTGTGGCTTTAGATACAGACAAATAAATAAACAAATAAATAAATAAATACAGACCCACATATTTGTTTTTGACTTCAAAAACTTTTAACTTAGGCCTAATTTTGAAATAGGCTAAATATTAAGTTTCCTATTAATTAAATATTAAGTAGCCTAACTTATTAGGCCTACTTTCAATTAAGTTATAGGCTAAACTCTAACTTAAAGTTATTATGTTGTAACTCTTAACTTAAGCCTAGGCAACCCTTGGAAAAGGATTAACATAGGTCTAAACTTAGGCCTTTGATTTTAGCCTAGGCCTAACTTAACTTACTTTAATGCAATGCGTCCATATTTTGTCAGGTTTAAGTTTATGTTCTTTATATAACTAAAGCTTAACTTAAATAGTAAGAAAGTAGCATGAACCTCCATTCTCCATATAACTAACTTAACCTGTCTAGTTTTAGTTGGGATCTCGGCCTAGGCCTCTCATTCATAGCTTAAAAATATAAGTTAGGCTTATTAACCCTAACTCTAACTTAAGTTAAATTAATCAATAGGCAATATGCCTACCTCTCTATGACGGAGATTCTTGAATGCAATTTCATACTTTTTCTGGTTGATAACTGGCATTATTAACAACTAATAGTAGTTAATTCAAATTTTAAATATTTAATTAAAAAGGCGAGTAGTTATGTCAACTTCGTTTTGGTAACACAAAATTAAAATACCATCAGTTGGAGGAGATATTGTTGTACAGCCACTGTTTACATTTTGAATTTTTGAAATATAAAACGTCTGCACCAAAGAGAAAAATCAGTAGTTGGGCGAAAATTCATTACATGTAAAACAAAGAGCAACTAGTTGTTATGCCTATCGTTACTACTTTTATTAATATAAGTCTAAAGTATAAATGAATTTAGTTGGTTTTAGGAAAACATTCAACACAATCGAGATAGAACTATTTATGGGTTTGCAACTATCCAAACTTGCACTTAATTAATAAATTAACTACAAATCACCAGGTCATCCTTTTTAATCAATATTGTAGGAGGATTTGTATGACTACTTTACTTTTATTTATGTAACTCAGAGTGGGAAAAAATACCCCCGCCGCAGCAAACCTGCAGACTAAGCGAATTTCCATTTGCCTGATTGGATTTACACTAAAATGTCTCCTTAAAAATATCACATTTATCCCTATTTAAATAGAATCAGTTTAACACACACTTAGGTTTGCTGCAACAGGGAGGGTAAAAGTGTTTTTTATGTAAAATGTTAATTGTTAGTAAGAAATAAAAACATGTTCCAAATTTTGGCAAAATATTTTAATAAACAAGCAAACTACAACAGTTTACTTATTCTCCATAAGAATAACATGGGAATTTTAAATTTGCAATTTTTTGGAATTTTCTCCGTAACCATTAGGCGCATTATAACGCTTTAATATACTAAATTATTAATTTTTTTAAGCTCTACAAAATAGTTTAGAAAGAAATTGCAAAATTTGATGTTTTTTGGGTCAAAAATGGGAAAACCCCATTTTTACCTCATAAAACCCCCCATAAACCCCCGTTCCCATGGTCCGATCATGCTGGTTCGCGAACTCGTTCGAATAAACGTAGGTTTACACGTTTGTACCAAATTTAATCAAAATCGGATCATTTTTGCTCGAGTTATCGCGCTAACGGACACACACACACACATATATATATATATGAATTTGAACAGATGGTGTTTTTGGCCTCTAGGGACTCCAAAACGAAAAAAAAATCGGTCCCAGGTCCAGGTCTTACCATGAGTACTACGGTAATAGCTTATTCCCTATATGGGAAATTCGCTAATAAGGAAAAGGAAGTGTTTAGAGACAGGCCATGGGAAATCAAATTAAATGAAGAGGAGGATGTTGTTGAAAGGCAGTGGCTATTCACACGTCAGACTGCGTGGACTGCGCCGCTACCACGCACGTCTGTTCCAAATGACGTCACATTACGTTCCTAATCTTGTAACCGTTATAGCTGTTTGGGAACAGGTAGCACACAAAGATATCCTAGTATTAGGAACGGTAACGGTGGTAGTACCTCATATTAGCCGAATGGATCGGATCGGGCGGGTTTCTGAGTCAGGGATTTATAAGTCCAGAACTAGGCTAGTCATGGATTAAAATTAGTCATGTACTAAAATTCACTTTCTGAGTCAAGGATTAAGGACCACTGAGCTAAAATTATAATTGGGGGTATCACTGCCATGGCAGAAGTCTGTCAAAAGCGTGTCGCTGATTTTGTTAGGTTGGTATAGCAGTTGGTTTTCTTATCATAGCAATAACATGGCTTCTTATAACTAGGTTGGTATAGCAGTGAGTTTTCTTGTCACAGCAATAACATGGCTTCTTATGACACCCACCTCACGCAAACATGGCGGCTGGTGACAAGCATCTTTGACATTCAGTGCTACCTCCAGTTAGAATTATAGCTCAGTGTTAAGGACACACGGACTAATTTAAAGCGGGTACTTAGTTTCGTCAGAGATTAAAAGAGCTAATGATTTTCAAGGGAAATGTAGGGTAATTTGTGCCGCCATGCTGGCAACACTGTCAGTTTGATGTGCGCACTGCTGACTGATCTGAAAAAGTAAACAAACGACGATCTCAGTCAAACACCTTGGTTTTGAGGTTTATTTCTGTTTTAATTCATTTATCATTGTAATATATTTTATTATTGTTATAAACTAGTTGTATCGTAAAATTTTAAAGGTGTTTTGAAGGTAGGATTGGTGTTTCATCCTATTTATTTTGGCTGCACTTTACGTCCTACACTCCTTCGAGATTTTCAATTCATATTGTTTTGGTTTTCAATTCACTGTATGTTTTATTTTCAATATTTTAATACATTTATGTTCATAAATTTATATTTAAATAAATGAAGTGCGTTTTAATGAGCTCTGTCACCTGTCATGTTATCTTATAGGACGTCTGTCACTAAACAACACCACTTGCGACGTTGTCAATTCGAACAGGCCACGGCCTGTAGTAAAAGGTGGCCGTGGTGAATTGCGAATTAATGAAATTATGTCACCTGTCAGCCATGTTATCTTATGGGACGTATGAAACTAAACAGCCCTACTTGCGACGTTGCCAATTCTACCAGGCCGCGGCCTAGTTAATGGTGGCCATGGCCAGGCTTGGCTAAGCTGACTGGAGTGGACAGAACTAGCGTAGTGAAGTAGTGAACAGTGAAGTGAACTGAATATAATAACAACAAATGGACGAGGACGATAATGGAAGTGTCATGTTCATGTTGTTCCCTAAGTGATGATTACTAGGCTAAGTTTATTCATAACTTTACACTTACATACAATTAATTATTATTCAGAACGATTCTGGCAGTTTACTTGTCCATTGGTAGGCCTAGTTCGTGTTTTTAAAACTAATCAGTCTATCAGTCAATGACAAGGACAAGTTGATTGTTTTTGTTTTGAGCTGGCCATAGATTAATCAATTCAACTTGTTTCTATACATTGATAGTGCAGTATGATGTAGAGATTGATGATACAAAGTCTTTAGTCGTTCGTACAATTAATTTTCGTCGTTTTTTCTTTGTTTAACTACAAGTATTCAACTTATTTTGAAGCCTCCGTATATTTTTCAGGTTAGGTTGCTCAATCACTTTGTTTTACTCAACAGGTGGCTTTCAATTAACCTGGTTACAATTGTACATGCATTTTAGGCCCAAACTATCTTAACAGTGTTTTAAAATAGCCTATACAGTTTGTTGTCTCACAACATGGAAAAAGTGGAAGAACAGACCTCTGACACTCTCCTGAGTAGGAATGAAATTCCTATCATAGACTTGGCATATATGGGTATGTTTTAATATAGATAGCTTAAACTTAGTGCTTTTTAGGGTAGGCCTAGCTATGGTAAATGTAGAATGCTTTGATGACTCATATAGGCCCATCCGACTTCTATCTAAGTTAAGTTAGTGAAGAAAAAGGGGGGGAGTGAAGTCAGCAATAAGTAGTGCGCGCGCCATATAAAATCTATTGCTGGCCGTTTTGCGGAAAAATAAGGCCACATACCATATTACCAGATAATGTCACCAGATAGAAAACACTTAAACGGACATGACAGTATCAATATCATGCACCTGGGGAGTAAGTTTGTGAAGACAAGGGGGGGGTAAAGTCAGCAATAAGTAGTTCAAGCGCCTGATAAAATTTATTGCTGGCAGTTTTGTGAAAAATACAGCCGCGTACCATATTAGGCCTAGGCTACTGATAAGGTCACCAGATAGACGACACTTTAACGGAAACGACGGTAAGTTATCAATATCATGTTCCTGGGGAGTAAATTAGTGAAGAAAAGGGGGAAAGTAAGCAATAACAGGGTGTACTATTTTTTAATTGTTGGATGTTAGCCTCTGGATTACTTTAATACTTAAAGTGGTTTAGATACCTGCATAAGTAATCCAGTTCGTTGCTTATGTTGCAACCGGTTTCAACACCGTGGAGTCATCTTCAGGCTTTCCACGATATAAGTTATCCCTTCATTTGAAGGTCGTCATAGTTTTAAATACCCCCGCCGCAGCAAACCTTCCGACTAAGCGAATTTCCATTTGTCGGAATCAATTTTCAATTAAATCTATTCAAAAATAACATTAGGTTTAACGAGTCCCTAGGTTTGCTCCTACAAGGAAACTGTTAAAGTAGGGTTTTTAGTAAAATATTAATACCTTAGTATGAAATAAATAAATTTGCCAAGTTTTATCAAAATATATCCATAAACAAGCAAACTACAACATTCTACAATATTCTCCTTAAGAATACGGTAACATGGGAATTTTCAATTAAAAATTTTTTGAATTTTCTCCGTTACCAATAACCGTATACGAAAACACTTTGATGTAATAAATTATTTGTTTTTTTATGCTCTTTAAAAAGGTCTTAGAGATAAATTGGAACATTTTGTGTTTTGAGGGTCAAAAATGAGAAAAACAATTTTTTACCCTGTAAAACCCCATTCCCATGGTCTGACCAAGCTGGTTCGCGAACTCATTCAAGTTTATCCCGCCTTACACCTTTTAACCAAATTTAATCAAAATCTGACAAAAATTACTCAAGTTATCGTGTTCACGGACGTATATACACTACTTCCCTATAGGGGAATTCGCTAAAAACTAATAAACACGTAACTTGAACATTGAACAAACACTGAGCACTGATGTTTAACATTTAGAAAACACACAAAAAGTGAAATTCCAGGTTTTTCAAAGTTTTTCCAGATTCCCTCGTAAATGGTGAACAATTCACAATTCACAATTAGGTAGTTCTTGCGTGTTTAGTTCCACAAAACTATAACCAATTTAAGACTTGCAGCTTACGTATATACATCAATAGGCCTATACATCACATTTGTATTTCTAATAGTTCCAAAGTTCAGTGAGCTATTGTTGAAAAAATAATAGCCTAATCTTTTTAAAATAGGCTAATTTTTTTATTATCATCATTCCTTAAGGCCATGAAAACATTATTACAGTGGAGTCCCGATAATCCGAACTTCGGTAATCCGAAAGTCCGCTTAATCCAAAAACAAAAAATATTTTTTTAAAAAATGTTTTAAAATGTTTGTAAATTAAACTTTTAACACAGTTAGCTGCTGTACCTTGTCAAAGTGTATCAGCTGGGCAAGATAGACTTTTTTTGTACCTAGAGTATGTTAGTAATATTTCACAATTTTTGTTAATATTAAGTTAAGTTAATAAGTTGAGTTAAGTTTTTATTGTTTATTAACATTTTTCATTTTCGTCCCGGGTTCCAATCCCGCCAAATCACAAATGGATTTTATTAAGTGATAATGCTGCAGCCACTAAGTTAGGTCTAGCCACGGGCGTCGCCGCCACAGGGGACATGGGTGACACGTCCCCCCCCCAATATTTGAAAAGTCAGTTTTGTTTCCCCATCGCAAATTTTAAAAGGAATTGTGTTCAGAATTTGTGAACACAGAATGCGTGTTCACCCGTTCGATCGCTGCCAGCGCAAGCAAGGTGCTCGCTTCGCCATATGATTCGGAAGCATACGACATGGTGCAGTGGTGGGGGGGGGGGGGGGTGGGGGGTGTTCCGATCCACTATCCTGGAGTTGCACTGGATGCGTAGACGCTTTGTCTATACGTCGCTTCGTCTTCTCGGCTTCTCGCGTTTCAGTCGGTAGTTGTTGATACTACAGTACCTATTTAGATGTAGGTACGTTAACCTTTTTCTCCTCGTGTGTTTTATCTGTCGGTAGTATCGGTTATAGTTCTTTTAGTTTATAATTTTTGGAACTACGTTGAACCGTTTCTTCACAAATAAAACGAGCAGAAGGACAACAAAATTTGTTAGCCTATCATTTTTTTTAAAACAAAAAAAGGACAATGGTAAGTAGGGCCTAAATAGGCTATTATATATTTTGTAAAAGATAAAACAAATTTTTCCGTAGATAGTTATTGATTTCATGTTACGGAATAAAAAAAAAAAAAAATATAAGGTAGGCCTACCGAAAGTAGGCCTAAATCAGAAGAAAATATTTTAAAAGTGATCTTGGTTTCATTTGTTATTCTAACAGGTAGTTCGGAAGTCTTATTAAAAATGTAACTTTGTTATAGGGCCTAGATAAAGAAACTGACAAAGAACATATATTACACCTGCACAGAAGAAAATATTGTCATAATCAAATTCTGGAGCTGTATCATCATTTGTTTGCTCTCTTATCAGTTGAAGCACAGCAAAATGGAGGAAACAACCAAGACGTAGTGGCATCAGTTGACTGCTCTATTCGTCACACTTCTCCGCATCAGCCTCAGATTCTACCAGGGGATTTTCCGGTGCAAAAACTTTCAGGCAGAGTGCTGTAATTCCAGACCAGTTGGTATGAGAGATTTCCTTGGCTACATGTGGCTGGAGCTGAAGGGGTAAGCTGTTTTTACTGTACAAGATATGCTCAGTTGTGCCCAGCAAAAACGCTGGCTACCAAAGCAGATAAGGCTTTTAGTGAAAAAGGGTTCAGTAACTGGAAAAAAGCTGTTGAAAAGTTTGGAAACCACCAAACCAGTGATGCTCATTGCCAAGCTGTTTTAAGATACTCACAGTTACAAGCACCTATTGAGTCACAACTCTCACATGTTAAACTCGAACAACAAAAACTTGCTTTAGAATCTCTTATGACTATAATAAGTAGTGTAAAGTATCTCGTTAGACAAGGTATGGCAGTAAGAGGACACAAAAATGATGAAGGTAATCTAATGGAACTATTGAAGGTTCGCTGTGAGGACAAGCCGTCTTTGAAACGGTGGCTAGAAAAAGATATTACCTATAGGCCTACTCACCCTACTATACAAAACGAAATCATACAGATATTCAGAAATGAAATAGTATCCAGTACAGTTCAGAGCATTAAATTAAGCAACCCTTTGATGTACTCTGTCATTTGTGATGGGACGCGAGATATTGCTGGCAATGAACAGGTCAGTGTTTGTGTCAAGTGGGCTGATGCTGATCTCGAACCTCATGAAAGTTTTTTAGGCTTTTATGAATTGGCAAATACATGTGGAAGAGATATAGCAGCTCTTATTTTTGACGCGTTGCTTAGATTGGAGCTTCCTTTGTCCAATCTTTGTGGGCAAACTTACGATGGAGCTGGTAACATGAGTGGGATCCATAAAGGAACTCAGTCGGTAGTAATAGAGAAACAACCACTTGCTGACTACATTCACTGTGGTGCTCACTGTGTCAATCTAGTAATGAAAGCAAGCTGTGAAACTTAAAGAACTGTCAAAAACGCAATGGATTGGGCTCATCAGTTAGGAGTATTGTTTTCAAAGACAAAAGCTAAAGATAAAAACAAACATATAGTTGAAGATGCAGATCAAGGTCCAGTAAGTAATATTGCAAAAATAAAACCTCTGTGTCCCACAAGATGGATATACCGGAAAGGGCAAATATATGAAATTTTGCAAAAGTATCCATTAATTTTTAAAACTTTGAATGAACTCACAGAACGTAAGTACGAAGGAGCCAGTGGTTTGTTGAGTGTGTTTGAAGATGGGACCACGTACTTAGGCCTGATTATGGGTAGAAAAGTTGTTGAACTTTTGGAACTACTGAACAAAAGTTTTCAAGGCGAGAAGAAAACGGTGCTTGGATTATATGAATCTGTTAAACTCATTAATAATGGCCTGCAAAACCTCAGAACCAACCAGCAGTTTTCTTCTGTCTACGAAGAGTGTACCAAGTCCATAACTGAGCTGGGCCTAGAAGAATTAAGGCTCCCAAGACGAAAGAAAGTGCCTAAAAAGATATCTGAGGGATATGCTAATGACTACGGCTACGAGTTTACTTAAACAGAAGAACATTTCAGACGGGAGTACTTTGAAGTCATTGACACGGCTGTACATGGTCTCAAAACTCGTATACTTGAACAGGCTGGTAAGAAAAACTGATTGAGCTCGAGAAAGTCCTACTAAGCAGAGACAGTTATGATGTCAGTGTGCTAGCGCCATATCCGGAAATCAAAGTTCAAACGTTGAAGTCAGAACTTGAGCTTTTCCACCTAAGAAACAAGGTGCAGAATTTAAAAGACGCCAAGGACGTTCTGACCTCTATGACAAGAGAGGTGAGGGGCTATTCTCCAAAGTTGAAGGTCTGGTGAGGCTAATGCTTGTGTGTCCAGCTTCAAGTTGTGAAGCAGAGCGAAGTTTTAGTGCTCTGCGGAAATTGAAGACCTACCTAAGATCCACCATGCCTCAAAAAAGATTGAATCATGTTGCTGTTTGTTACGTCCACAAAGAAGTATTAGACAAGGTAGAAGAAAAACGGGTTGCAAAACTG